TTTAAGAACAGATTTCTATTAACTAACAAAAAGTAATAAAGTTACTTCTTGCCAAAGTACAACCCATGACAAGATATTCTGGTACAACAATTTTACTGAAAATCATTTAAAATGAAAGGTGTGCGAGTAACAGAAACAAATTTCCTCCTAAGGTCTACAACAACTTTGCAAAATAAAAATAATCATTTCAAATGACACCATTACAACTGCATACATTCCCAAATCATTAAAAACAAATATGGTATACAACCATACACTTTATTTAGTACATGAGAGTACATATTAAACATGTATATATTACATATAAAGAAATATATAAATATACATGAGTATAAACTAAATGTGAAAAAAGCAATAACACAAAATCCTGAAGGAAAACATTTTCATTTATCATAAACACCATGAAGAACAGTTTGCAAAGACAATGCAACACAGAAATATGCCACAGCAATTCTATTGCTGTGTTAAAACCTATGTGGGTACAGAGCTGCTACATGCAAGTCAGAGCAGGGAATCACAGAAAAGCAGAATCAGGGTCCTCATCAAATGGTAGGTGACAGTGGGCCCAGCTTCTGGACCTTTTCATTACATGCATCAACAAATTCACTGTCCATCCTTAGATTACATTCTTTCCAATGTATTATATAAAAGATTAACCTTCTTTCATATTTACTTCAATAAAAATCTATATTCACTTATCTAGTAACATTATTTCAGAAAAATATTAAACTTTTCAACTACCTTTTCTTGCAGATCATTTTCTCGTACAATCTGGTGAAAATATGAAATAGTCTACTCATAAGAAGATAGGGCCAAACTGTACTATGAAAACTTCATTTCTGAAGCTTGATATTGAAGATTTATGAAAAATTGTATCTAATACCTCTGGTCTACAAAAATGTTTGATAATCATGAAGCTATATAATATAAACATTTAAAGAAATGGACTAACACTTTTAGAAAACAAAGGAGATATTTCTGAATTCAACATTATTGATAAGCAACATTAATGTAAACAATTTATCTATTGAGGGAATAAATATGTAAGTAGACTTTAGAAGAATCTAATGCTGTATGTTACTGTTAAGGATATGGATGAAATGTGAACTTCGGCCAAAAGTTGAGAACAAAAAGGTTTTTTGGCCTCTTAAATCAATTTAGCCTACACACCTCTTAATGGAATTACATTAGATAAATCATATTTATCTCTAATCACAGTAGAAAGAAAACCACAGTGCATGCTAGTCTAAAACTCCTATACCTCCTGTATCTCACTAATTATATGGCAAATGGAAATAACTACCTGACATAATGAAATCTTTGGTTAAATCCAGCTATCTGCCAATTTCATTCCTACACTAAGAAGCTAAATGTGCCTTTGAGAAAACACACAACCACAATGCTTGGCTTCATTTTCAATGTATGTCTACGCATTTCAGCTGGCTCCTTAGTCCAGCCTAGCAGTCCTGCCGTACTCTGAAGTTAACTCACTCTCCTCATCTACATGGCAATTGCACACTTTCTCCTCCCTTTTGAAACATCAGTACTACCCACCTCAACATCATTCTCATTAAAAGAGACCAAGTGCACCCCCTTCTACCCATCTACACACATCCATATTCACACACTCTGCCATCCCTTCTGTTATAAATAAACAGCCCAAGGTCCTACTGAAAATCATACAACTAAATACCATTCTCTCTCATTTGATTAAATATATTACTCTAGCATACACACTCTCTCTCATATCAATAGTTTCCTCTCTACTGTACCATTCTCATCATGATACATACATGCTGTTATTTCTACATTAAAAAAATTTCTACCCCACATCCCCTCTTAATACAACCTCCCTTTCCCCTTTCATCACAGAGAACCTCAAAGCAGTTAACTCTACTTCTATCTCGAATTCTGCTCTTCCCACTTTTTTCTTGAGCCCACTCCAAATAAGCTTTTGTCCCAATGCTCCACCAAAACCACTCTGGTCAGGCTGCCAATAACTCCATGTAGCATAATTCAGTGGTTAATCTTCAGAATTTACCTTACACAACTTATATCAGCATTATTTTACACAGCGAACCAGACCCTCCTCCTCAAATGCTTTTTCACATGGCTTCCAGGACACCTGGCTTCGCTGACACAGTGCTCCCCTGTTTTTCCTGCTCTCACTATTGATGCTTTTCTCCATTGCCTTTGCTGCTTATTCTTCATTCCCTTGATCTCTTAATGTTGGAGTGATCCAGGGCTCTATCCTTGAACCTCTTCTCTTTTTTATATCTATGCTCTCTCTCCAAATAATCTCATCCAATTATGGCTTTAAATACATTTATCCACTGATGATTCCCCAATTTATATCTTTAGTTCAGACCACTCCCTTAACTACCAATTCTAATATCCCTAATTCTTCATTAGCATTTCCACTTGGATATATATGTTGGGCATCTTAATCCATCAAAAACCCAAACTCTTGATCTAAACCCATATGGCTGACATTACAAGTGTTCACTAATGTCCAGTTCCCTTCTCCGTCGGGGCACATAAATGACAACACATGGCAAGGCCATAAGACTTATTCTGGCCAATTAATGTGAGCAGCACTGCCATGTATCACTGTCAGCCTGGGCAGTGGAAAGCCCATTTGTGGTTCTCCAATCTTTCTCTCTGCTGTGGCAACTGAAAATGTTGTGTGTTCCATCCAGGAGGTAGACCTACAAAACGGTAGAGTCTCCAATCAATCTGGAATCTTGCAAAAGACCTTCCCACTGACCCACATGGGACAGGTACCTTGAACAAGAAATAAATGTATATTTTTAACCACTGAGATTTTGCAGTTCTTAGTGATCCCAGAATAGCCTAGCCTCTGTAGGCTAAGACTCCCCAAACCTGTTCTCACATAGCATACTTCTCCATATCAACAACCTTAACCTTTCAGTTGCTCAACCAAAAACCTTAAAGTCATTCTTGACCCCTCTTTTTCTCTTACACCCAACATCTAATTCATCAGCATATCCTGTACCTTCAAAATATATCTAGAATCCAATCACCTTTACTGCCTCCACTACCATCCTGCTCTTCAAAACACACTGGTAAAAAAGAATAAGACAAGTCACAGACTAGGAAAAAATATTGACAAAGAAAGTATCTGATGAAAGATTTATATCCAAAATATATAGAATTCTAAATGGTCATCAATAAGTAAACAAACCACCCAATTTAAAAAAATGAACAAAAGAGTTAACAGACATTCCACCAAAGACATATGAATAGCAAATCAACACATGAAAAGATACTTGATATCACTGGGAATACAAATTAAATTAGAAGCACAATGAGATATCACTATACCATATTAGAATGGGAAAAATTAAAAACACTGAAAATATAGTACCAAATGTTAACTAGGATGTAGAACACTGGAACTCTCATTCACTACTGGTTGGAATGTAAAACTGTGTAACCGCTTTAAAACATAGTCTGGTAATTTCTTTAAAAGTTAAACATACATATGTAGTAAAAGAACACTTGTATATTGATAGAAATGGTTTACATCAGAAGCTATTTATAGGAAACTTATAACTATTTGTAGATGATTCTTCCTTGGTTGAAAAGTACTAAAACTTACACCTATCGGATGATATACCCATTCCACTCCTAGGTATTCCCAAGGAAATGAGGGTAATATTATATATAAACTTCAGATTTCTACATGAATACTCATAACCAAAAATTAGAAACTGCCCAAATTTCCATCAACAGGTGAATGGATAAACAATTTGTAGTATATCTATACCAAACACTACTTCTCAGCAATAAAAGTTACTGAATTATTAATGAACACAACATAGATGAATCTCAAAATAAGTATGCTTAGTTAAAAAAAAAAAGAAAAGATTAGAAAAAAAAAGCACACACTGTATGATTCCATTGCACAAAACTCTAAAAAATGCAAACTAATCTATAGTGACAGAGAGCAGATCAGTGGTTGCCTAGAGAAGCCTGGGAAGAGGGGTGTTGAGGACAGAAGGAAGGAATGTCAAAGGGATGTAGGAAACTCTTTGAGGATGTATATATGGAGATGGATATACATATGGATATGTTCACTATCTTGATTGTGATGATAGTTTCACAAATGTACACATATGTCAAAACATTAAACTGTTTATGTTTATACAGTTTGTTATATGTCAATGATACTTCCAGAAACCTGTTTTCAAAAAGAATGTAGCAGGTATTCAATATTTTTGGAAAGCATAAAGTGGATGGAAATGAAATAGATGTTGAAAGCAGAATCCTAAGAATGAACTGAAGTGGAAACCCATTATATCTTCCCTCCTTTAATAGCATATTTTTTTCTAAATGAGAGAATATAACCAGAAAAGAAGAAATAAGCTATCACAAATGAATGTCCCTCAGTATACAGTTGTAGGGCCTTTCAGCCAAGGAAGAATCCCCTATAAGAAGCTTCTGCATTAGACAATTGCTACCCCAATATACAAATACAATTATTGTGTCACAGTCCCCTAGCAGTTGAATAATCTCTTTGAATTAATCTAAGAAACCTAGCCTAATTTCTTCTTTTTATGTCATCTTCATTTGTCATTAAACATATTGAACTTTTCCCCATCAATTTAGTTTGTTGAAAAATTTTTAAGAATGTAGGAATAGCCATACTAGATGTCTCCAGTCTGCGAATCTTGGATGAAAAATGCCTTTCCCAGGTTTTCTCTGTCCTTTGTCTCCCAATTTTCCACTGAGATAAAAGAAAAATCACCATCTCTATGTCACTCATATCCCTTGCTCTTTTCTTTGAAATCCGAAATTCCACCCATCATAATCAATTTTATCATCATGCTAGTATGTGAGTACATCCCCTTATTTCACAAGCTGCTATGGCTAGGAGTCTTCGGCAACATCACCCCTTCATGTTCAAAACTATGATATAATTTTGAAATAAAAGCACAGCATGCACTTATGTTAAATAAGTTAGGCCCATGACTCACCTCATTTCCACCAACTGCCTTGGTTAAAATCACTGCAGAAGACACAGGCGGAGGCATGCAACCTACTGTCTGCAAACTGAAAAATAAAAGAAAATCCAACTATAAATAGTTTTTTAAAAATCCTAGACAGCTTTCACTACATTCATTCTAAAATAGCAGAGCTGAGCAAATGAAAATAAGAGCATATTTATTGATGCACAAGTCCTGTTGAGTTTAGACAATTCTACGCAATGCAATGTGCTTACAAGATGCTGCAAATGTACAGGTTCTAATTTCTTATGATCTTCCATAGGCTTGAGTGAGTCTATTTTAAGTTATTTAAGCCCTCATCATACAATTCAAAAAGTAGTCAAGGAATAGTGAGTGCAGTCATTGAAAAATAACCAAAATAGCTAATCATTTGGTAAGTGTATGTAATCTTAGGTTATTTTTAGGTAAAGTAAAAAATACTTACCCTACATTTTTTTGTAGAAAGTCTCTTGGTAAACTAAACCTTCAAAACCACTTCCAAAGTTCAAAAATACTTAATAAGACACAAGCTTATATCTTTGGATTACTTTCTATAAAACAGCAGTTTTCAAACTTTAATCTCATAAAAGATATTTTAATATTGTAATAACATTATAGAAACAGGCATGACACAATCATATACTTCTTGCATTCAGATTCTGTAGTAAATTCTAGTATCTATTCTCAATTTGGTTTTTATTAAATTATGTGCACATGCCTAAGATCATGACAGGTCTTTTCTCTTAGTTTAGGACAGAAAATAAATTGCATAACAAGCAAATGAAACTATGAGTAGTAAACTTAAGTACTATAATTTTTTAAATTATTTCAAAAGTCATATAGAATATACCTTCTGGAGAGAACAAGTAGCTGGTCTAAGTGGAAAGTGTATATAGGGCATAGAAGACACAGAGTATCTGACTTAGATTTTGAATGAGTATGATTAAAGGTTACAGTTGGCCATTCAACAACACAGATTTGAACTGAGAGGGCCTACTTATACATGAATTTCTTCTGCCTCTGCCACCCTTGAGACAGCAAGACCTATTCCTCTTCTTTAATCCATTCAATGCAAAGATGACAAAAATGAAGACCTATATAATGATCCATTTCCACTTAACGAAGAGTAAATATATTTTTCTTCCTTATAATTTAAATAGGTTTCTTTTCTCTAGCTTAATTGTAAGAATATAATCAGAATGAAGTTAAGTAACTCACAAAGCCACCTATCTGGGGTAAAACTTTCATGGGTCAAAGACTTACCTAGGCCTCTCACTTCAGCCTCTCTATCTCCCCTACCCCCAACACTAGGACAGATCCTCTCAGGCATTTTCAATCTTTCTAGCTTTTTCATCCCTCCTCTTCTGGCCCCTTCCCTTCTATGTACAAAAAAGCAAAATTCTCATATCTTTAAAAAGACAAAAATTTTGCTTGAACCCAGGAGGCGGAGGTTGCAGTGAGCCAAGATCACACCACTGCGTTCCAGCTGGGTGACAGAGCAAGACGCCATCTCGAAAAAAAAAAAAAAAAAAAGACAAAAATTTGCCAACTATATGTTGAATACATATATCTTCTATGGGTAAAATCCTACAGGAAGGAATTATAAGAAAGAAGTAAAAACATTATTCCTGCCTTCAAGGAGCCAGAAGAGTCAATGCACAAATGTAGATAACTAATAGCAAAATGAGTGGTGCCACCTCCTCAAGATACACCTACTTTTCTCACTGTGACTCATTTTTGACCTTTAAAAAGTACCTGCCTCCATGGCCCCACTGATCATTCTCTTTTTACTTCTCTGAAATGAGACTTCTGCCCCCTCTACTAGTAATAGTAACCTTAAAGTAGCCAGGAATCTCTAAATCACCAAATCTGGCCTCTTTTTCCCCATATTCATTCTGCTTACATTCTTACTTCTCAGAGCACTTTAATATTTAGCTTCCATCTTTTAAACCAGCCCATTCTGGGTTGTTTGTTGGTGGTGGTGGGTGGTGGTGTGTTTTTTTGTTTGTTTGTTTTTGCTGCCTCTCCTGCCATCTTTTCAATCTTATTTTCAATCTGTAGGAATACTTTCAAGTTTATATTTTTTAGCCCTAACTACAGTTCCCAAATTTGTAGCTGCCTATGACTGCCACCTTAAACTAAGCATGTCTAATATTGTATTTATATATTTGTTTGCCAAGTTTATTGAGATATAATTGACAAGAGAATATTGTATAAATTTATGGCATATAACATGATGTTTTGACATATGTATATATATATATACACTGTGAAATTATTACCACAATCCAACCAATTAATGTATATATCTACTCTCTTAGCAGTTTTCTAGTTTATGTTATTAACTCTAGTCACCATGCTGTACAACACATCTCCAGAATGAATTCATATATTTTCTAAAAAATAAACTTCCCCTCTGAATTTACATATTTTTTGGTCAACGGGACCATTTTTTTCATAATAATCCAGTTTGAAACTTTGAAGTTATACGTGACTTCACTTGCTCCTCAAAAGCAATCTGTCACCACAACTAACTTTCCATTCTCCTCCATGACTATTGCCAGTGTCCCTGTCCAGATGCTTCTCAACTAATCTGGACACTTACAAAGGCCTGTTCAATGTTCTCCCTACCTCACTCTGTCCCTTTACTATGCCACATAAGGAGCATGTGCTCAGAATATCTTTATTTCATCAGCTTAAATATGATTCTGCAACCCCTTCAAGTTAACATACTAAGTATATACTTTCAAATTAGGGAGGAGAAGGGAAAAAACCCTAAGCTAGGAAGAGCTTTCTCTAAATCAATTAGGGTAAGTGAACTCCTAAAGTTCAACATCTTGAAGTCAAAATTATTTGTATTATTTAGCACATTGAGATTACAAGCTGTCCGATTAATCTTCCTTTGTAGCCACTTTTTAACATGTTGTTATTCGCTTGTTTAGCATTTTTAACAGCTCTCTCTCCATCATCTATAGCTTCAAATGCAAACCCCTCAGCTCAGTAGTTCAGGTCTTCTGCAAGCTGACCCTATGGAAACGTTTTATCTTTGTATCCTATTAATGTCTCATTTTTGAAATCTCTAAAAGTATCCAGCTTTTGATGAACTACTTAACTACTTATTCTTTAACTGATCACACCACTCATCTGACAAATCACATGGTGCCCCATTTTGGTGATTACTAGGTTTCATATACACACACACACACACACACACAAATATATATATATATATATATATATATATATCCATCCTACATAACCAACTAGGTTGGAAGTTCCCAGGAGACAATAAAAATGAGTAAATATATTTGTATTCCTTGAGTCCCCTACACATGGCAGATAATTCAGTAACTATTGGTTCTTGATATGCATAATACATTGTTGCTCTAAAATGATGTTATCATATTTATGTGGCATTATATACTTCTTCGTGAAATTTGATATTCATTTTTCAAACTAAATCTGGCCAAAACAGCACTCTTGATTTCCATCATTCCTCCTTACTTAGTTTTCCCCTCTTAAGTAAATGATGCTACCAATTACCCAGTGGTTCATACCTAAAACCCAGAAGTCACCCTTGGTTCCTCTGTCCTCCTTCTACATCCTCCCCACCCATCACTGCTGAAAGCTCTAACTTTAAAATCTATCTGGCGCACATTAATTTCTCTCTATTGAACTGCTACCTCGCCACTACTCTCTGAGATAATTTCTCTAGGCCCCTCTACTATCTCTTCTCCACATAGCAACCAGAAGAATCATTTGCAAACATAAATCAGACCACATCACTCCCTCATTTCAGTCCCTCCAATAACTTCCTGTAGCACTCAGAATAAAATCCGAATGCTACACCATGGCCTATAAAGCTCTACATATCTCACTCCTGCCTACTTTTCTACTGCTAAGACAAGGTATTTTTCCTCTACATCATCAGGCTCTGGCCTTCCTGGCTGCTTTACTGACTAAAAAACACAACAGGCTTGATCCTGCCCTACAGCCTTTGTACATTCTGTTTTCTTTCTCTAGAATATTCTGCCTCCTGAACTCTGAAATCTAAATTAATCAGCAGCCTGCCCACCCAACCACATTCACATACCTCACTGTTTTGCTCTTTTTACATCATCTATCTCTATCTTCCTCATCTACTTACTTATTTATTGATACGGCACCCCTTAGACTCCCCAACAAGCAAAACTAACTGGCATTTCCCTGTTGTTTCTCCAATATTTATAACTCCTGAAACAAAGTAGAAGCTATATAAATAATTTGAATCAGTGAATAAGTAATTTCAATTGATATCCCCAACATCATTGGTAGGTAAGCAGTAAAACTATGATTATCCTCCTTTTCTAGAGAGGGAAGCTGACATTAAAAACTATTTTAAAGCTTTGCTCAAAGTCACATATAGCATATTAAGGATATGGTCAAAATTCAATCTTCAGGCTCTAAGTTCTAATAACTATTATATTATATTAAACATAAAACAGAATAAAATATAAACGTTTATCCCACATATATGAATTTTTTTTTCTTACACATTTCTAAAACACACATTATACTCAGCCATTATCAAATTACATTGCTATCCAATTGACGCGCATACAGATCTTACATCTGCTAGTCCCTTCCATTTTTCTTCTAAGACCATTCTTTAAAATTCTTCAGAAAGTACCCATCCTAAAACCTTAGGATGAAGCATGAGGGTATCTTAAGATTCTGTTAATATGAACCGCCTTGATGAAACTATTGTTTTAAAGGAAAACAAAGATGTGTTTTTACACATAAGATAGTACACATAAGCCCTTTTGTATATAGTTGCCATAGAAACAATAATATCTCTAGAGATGCTCCATTAAAAGTGGACTCACTTTTAAAGATTTAAACATACCCTTTTAAAAGCCATTCATTGATGGGTGTGATTGATAAAAGCTGAAGAAAAAGCCATATTGTAGCTGGGAAGAATGCAAGTGTGAAGATCTGAATAAAAAGATGCAGTTTTAAATGCACCAAAGCACTGGTCAGCTCCTGGAAAAATGAAGGAGACAAAATAAACAAAGGTAAGAAAACTATTCCTGAAAGGAGATCGCTACTAAAATAACATCACATGAGTTAGTTTTTAATTTTGAGGTTTCTCATAGCTAAAATTTTTATCTATAAATATATGCATATGAGACAGAATGCAAGAGAAAAAAGTTGCTCATGGTAGTTATAAAGCATTTTTGTATAAAGTTTCTTAAATATTCTTTTTCTAGTTTCTTTAAAATATACAATATGCCCTCACAAATCAGATTTGTAAAATTCTGGACCAGGACTAAGCTAACTATATACTAGTATAGATTTGGGGATTGTTGAACATACATATATGTTTAACTACATAAAATAATAAATTTTTTCAAAAAAACTAATAATACCTATCACATTTCAACCAAATACAGTAATTAATCTCTATTCACTACACCAAGGCTATAGGCCTCAATTTGACAAGATGTTACTAAATCTACAAATAATACATTAAAAAATACTTCCCTCAATGATAGTCTCTAATTCAGAATGGCATTTCCTTCCACAAATCTACTCACTAGATTCTTTGTTAACATTAACTGAATACCAGCTTTATGCCATAATCTGAGCTTGTCACTTTACATGTAAACTCACTTAATCCTCACAAGAAACCCCATTAAGTAGATAATATTATTCCTGTTTTACTGATGAAGCAATTGAAGTTGAGAGCTACTGTATGGTGAAGATCAGAACTAAAGCCCTTTCTGGCATGCTAGCAACCCCATGCCTGTTTCTCCCACTTCTGCCCCAAGGGGGTAAAAATGCACACTAAACATAACAAACCAGGCCCATGTTATAAGGTTGACAACTAAAAAAGGCATAATTAGTTAACTTCTGGGGTTCAAATATATATAAACTAACAAACATTTGCATTTGAGTTTATATTATGTTGAAATAAAAACAAAATGGAAAACCAAAATAAAACAAAATTGGAAAGTAGTAGAAAAAGTATATTCCTTTAAAACAAACAAGTGATCATTAAAGCATATTCAACTATGCCAGAGTCACTGGTTATAAGTATAGAACTGTAAAGGCCCTCTTGTTCAAGTAAGATGTTCAAGAGATCCTCAGCCTCAGAGACATTAGCCAAAGTTTATCAGCTTAATCAACAGTACGTTAATGCAGACTCATTGGCTCCACCACATTCTGAGATTAGTCTCATCACTTTCCACTGTCTATCTCCCTGTGTGGAGATAAACAAAGCAGTTCCTTCCTGTTAAGTCACAAGACATCCCTAAATGACATCTAAAGAATTTCTGGTAATCTGAGTCTAATTTGCGACCACTGGAAGACACAGCCTACCAGAAGTCACATTTGGTTCTGGGATCAGACCTAAGAGAAAGCAAGCCATCCTTACAGTGAATCAGAACTCTTAGAGCTCTATTCCAGAGAAAACTTGAGCACCAGTAGTTCAGAGAATTCTCAACAGTCTTGAAGGCAAATCTCATTTAAATATACTAATCTCATTTAGCCATTTGATAAACACTAAATAAATATTAGTATTTTTATTTTTTAAAATACCATAATGAAATGATTAGCCAGAATACACTAAGGCATTTGCATATACTTTTTTTTTTTTTGAGATGGTATTTCGCTCCTGTCATCCAGGTTGGGGTGCAATGGTGTGATCCTGGCTCACTGCAACCTCCACCTCCTGAGTTCAAGTAATTCTCCTACCTCAATCTCCCAAGTAGCTGGGATTACAGGTGCCCACCACCATGCCAGGCTAATTTTTGTATTTTTAGTAGAGATGGGGTTTTGCGATGTTGGCCAGGCTGGTGGTCTCAAACTCCTGACCTCAGGTGATCCACTCACCTCAGCCTCCCAAAGTACTGGGATTACAGGCATCAGCCACTGCACCCAGCCTGCATATACTTCCAATAGGAGTAAAAATTGGCATAACTTTTCTGAAAATGAATTTAGTAATATATATCAAGGACTATATAATTCATATTCTTAGACCCCAGAATTTTATGACTAGGAATTTATCCTAAGGATATACAAAATGGTTGCAAACATTTATACACAAAATTGATCACCACAGCATTATCTATTAGAGCAAAATCTGAAAACAAACGTCCAAAAATAAGAGAATCATTTAAAAAGTTAAAATGTAATGGGAGTGTTATGAATTATTAAATACCTTGTTGATGAGGATGCAGATGTATAGAATCTCTCCCCTACATTATCAATAGGTATATAAATTGGCATAACCTACAGAGAGGAATCTGGCAACTCATTCCCTCATTTAAGTAATACTTACTGAGCATCTGGCACCATTCTAGGCACTTGGAATATCTGCTACAACTTAAACTACATGTATCATTTGACCCAATTGTAGGAATTCATCCTTTGCATATGTTTCCAAGTATGGGAAATAACATATTTTTAGGTTATCTTTTGCAACATGTCTGTAATAGCAAAATCTTGTAAATTAACTAAATGTTCATCAATAGAGGACAACAAAAATACACCAGGACACATCCGTGCAACAGAATACTATTTGGTGTACAAAAAAAAAAAAAAAAATGGAGTCCTTTATGTGTTAAGGTGAAACAATGTACAAGATACGTCTTTTAAGTAAAATAAGGTAAGGTGCCAAACAGTATGAAATACAATTTGTAGGGGTGTGGAATACGCAATTGTATGTTTTACAAAGAATATCTCTGGAAAGGTACACAGAAATTGTTAACATTTTTTGTCTCCAGAGAAGAGAACTGGATAGCCGGTGGAAGAGTGAAAAAAAGGCTTATACATCTCTTTGTACCTTTTAATTCTGAACTATGTGAATAAATTATGCTCATAAGGGTAAATAAAATATGCATTTTTGTCATATAAAGAAAATTTAAATATTAATATTAAATTATATTAAAAATATGCAATGTTACATAAAAAGTAAGGTAAGAATACATTTGTATATGTGCATAGGTCTGCAATATGTATATATACATACTTATATTCACAATTTCATTTTTAAAATATTATATATATAAAACACATTTTTAAAAAGGATAAAAAGTGGGTGTTAATAGTTAATAGCATGTATTTTTAATCTTTCTAATCTTTCTACAATAAGTAAATATCACTTTTATTACAACAGAAACAAGTTATAAAAACTAAAATGTGCTTAGAAAATATTGCTGATCTAATAAATGACAATTAGAAACTGGCATTGCATCAGAACGATAGTAAAGAACCAGCAAAACGAGCCACAACAACCAACCATGTTGGCTCATGAGGGCCGTCTTAACAACAGGGAAGTGCTTCTGAGAAAGATTTTCAAAACTGTTACAAAATCCCAGAGTCATATATTTTTCATATCTTCTTCAAAGCACCATAAAGAAAAAATAAGGTAACAACAGGAAAGAAAAAGCAAGTAAACCCTATAAATTCCAAAATAGTTATTACTCTGTACATGCCCATGTAAAATTTGGGCCACACAGTCAAATAAATGCCAACATGAATAATTAAAAAGTTGATTCCGCATCATAGTTTGTTTATTCACATGTAATATAGGTCAAAATCCATTAAAATAAACTTAAGAAGACACTCCACCTCATGTACTGATTATGCCAGAGTTTCACTGACAGCATCAAGCACTGCTTAAAACAGGGCTCTGATTGGGACGTAAATATTTCCATTAGATCCCTATTTCTCTTGCAACCCTTTATCTGGCCTTCATCTAGTTCATTTGCTGAGAGTCAGGCTCATAACTCTGGGCTTGAAACAAACAGCATGAATATGAAGTTTAGAGTTTGCTATATTTGCTTTTCTGCTAACAGGATAAAAAATTAATAATTTGTAATTGTAATTAATAATTTGCTAATAGGATAAAAATAATAATTTATTTGAAAAACAAAGAAAAACCTGCATCTTCTGCCCTATTCAGGACCCTTTTTTAGTCTCTGAGTCTCCTGCTCTCCTTTGTCTCTATCCCCAGCACAGTGCCTTGTAGCCAAAAGCACTTAATTGGTATTTGTTTAAACAAATTCACCCAGCCACAGTTGGTTAAGTAACAAATCCTCCCAAACTATAGGTTTGAAGTGAACTAAATATGAATTTTAAACGTGACCGTATTTCACTTCAATAAAACAAAATTTCGAAAAACTAGAAATCAACAGCCATAAAACTGAAGACTCGGCATTGTATCAGCACAGAGGCCTTTAAAATTTTGACAAATTAGTAAAACAAATTTTAGAATACACATCATTAAATCAATGTATGATTAATACAAGAAATGTTCAATATAAATCAAACTTGAATGGGACCAACACAAATGCTTTCAAATAAACCAAGTCAATAATAATTCACTGTCTCCTGTGTGCAAAAATGAACTATTTTAGGACCTAATAAGACACACAAATTGTAATCCCTACTGAAATAAATTTAGGATTATTAACTAGTAAACAAATATGACTGCTACCACCTAAATTACAAGTTACCCATGAAATTAGTAGAGTTTAGAGGTGGTTTAATATTACACAATGGTACAATCTAGGACATCTTAAGTGGCTTTTGAAAATGATATTATGTTGTATTCATTTGAAAAGGGCTTTTGATGGAAGAAATGGCTTTTATTGCTGCTTAGATACCATGATAAAGCAAGAGATCAAGGCATTTCATTAGATCCAAATTAGCTGGATGACTCTGAAGGTTTCTTAGGTGCTTACAAAAGAAGTCAGTCCTCAGAAAAATGCCGACAGCTGTGACATTCTTCCTTCTTCAACTCCTGCATCCCACAAAGTTGGCTGCTTTACAGAATAGCATTAAGTAAGACGCTAAAGAGTGAGAGAAATCAAGTTGCTTTCTGGATTTCCCATGGCACAGTAACAGCTGTAGCCATTAAGCCGCCACCAGGGGACAGCCACTTGGGTTAGCAGCTTCCTAACCCAAGTCCTTTACTTGGGACGTTGCTCTAACTAGAGCAACGTCCCAAGTAAAGGACTTGGGTTAGGAAGCTGCTCTACCAAGAGCACTAGCCAAGGCCAGCAGGAAGACCTCCAAACAAGATCAGTCCGACACTATGGTAGTGGCAAATATCTTTCTGTATCACTGTGCCCCACATTTGAGAACCAATATCAGAATTCATACATTGACAGAAAAAAAAAAAAAAAAAGCCTGTGACCTATAAATAGTAATCATAGTCCTCTCATATCAATATTGTTTACCAAAATTGGAATTTGACATACTAGAAAATCTCATCCCATGTCAGTTATTTTCAGAAGAGCAAGTAGTCAGAGAAAATATTTACAACTCTAAAGACACAATTTATCAGTTATAGACACTACACATTTATCCTATGTATATCAAAAAAAACACCCCAGTGAGGCAGGGTGCGGTGGCTTACACCTGTAATCCCAACACTTTGGGAGGCCGAAGTGGGTAGATCATTTGAGGTCAGGAGTTCAAAACCAGCCTGGCCAATGTAGTGAAACCCAGCCTCTACTAAAAATAGAAAAATTAGCTGGGCATGGTAGTGGGCACCTGTAGTCCCAGCTACTTGGGAAACTGAGGCAGAAGAATCACTTGAAGCCAGGAGGTGGAGAATGCAATGAGCCGAGATCATGCTACCACACTCCAGCCTGAGTGACAAAGCAAGACTCTGTCTCAAAAAAAAAAAAAGAAAAAACAATAAAAAGATTTATACCAACCTCAACCTGATGGCTACAGAATACATAAATTTAGTAAAGTCATGTTTTATTCCACGTTGCTACGAGGGTGATCTAAGAAGGAGATAAGTAAATTTAGTCTTCATTCAAATCACTCTCAAAATAAATAAAGGTGAGACATGATGCTGGACCAGAATTTTAACTTTTAAAGCCATTTCCAAAAACAGAAAACTTACTTATAGTGAGACATTCCCATCTACATAAGAACAGGATGTTGGAATGATAGTTTTACGTAATTTCTTCAAGAGCAAATGGGTATTTTCTCCACTTTTTTTTTCTTCCAGTGTAAGTCAAAAGAGAATCATAAATTCTACTCATTCCTCTTTCACACGTAAATGTAAAAATGTCTGGATTTCTTTACTTCTAAGAGAATCCCATGTTCAGTGAAACCTGAATCAGTAAATAACACTACATATATATGGATGTGGTGTGTGCGTGTGTGTGCACGTGTGTGCACGTGTGTGTGCGTGTGTGTGTGTGTGGTGTGTGTGTATATATATATATACACACACACACAGACTCATGTATATATGTGTGTGCATATGTGTCTGTATGTGTGTATATATATACACACACATATACATACATATATGTCAAATGAAATATTTCTCTTAAGACATCTATTAATATTTAATAGATATGCTAAGGAACAATAAACTTTTCTAAATAAAAATTAGTTAGAAGTTATGACAAATTAAACATTACTTGAACAGCATGAGTCCTGGGAACCAAAGATGATCCACAAAAGTATGGAAACCAAACTAAACATCAACAGCTCAAATGTGCCCAGGCATAGCAGGCACCACTGTAGTTACCGCCATAAGTTGAGGAAGAACTAAAGTAGATACTTCAGTTCAGCTGCCATATTAAAAACATACTCATTATAACCACATCCTCAGGGTCCATGCTGCTCAACTGTACAGTTTTTATAATACACTTATGCAGGAAAGAAACACAAGTTCTTTGCTGACCAAGCTATCTTCTGCTATAGGGAATCCTTCAGATTATAGCTATAAATGGCATTACCAAAGGATTCTGAAATTTCAGGTAAGTTCAAATTAAATTTTTCTCTCTGCTTTTCATGTGTCCCATAGGTGACAGTACCTCTGTTTTCAATGATAGTCCACTGTTAAAGAATATTGTTGCAACAGCAATGTAGGATACAGTTATTTCTGGCTTCAATGGTCCTAAAGAGAAAAAACAATGAGTTATTGTTAGAAAAGAATTTCAGTAGATAACTTGGCACAAAAGAAGACTCTATTTGTTCATGCCTATAATCCCAGCCATTTGGGAGGCCAAGCTGAGTAGATCACTTGAGGCCAGGAGTCCAAGACCAGCCTGGCCAACATGGCAAAACCCAGTCTCTACTAAAAATACAAAAATTAGCCAGGCATGGTGGTGCATGCCTGTAATCCCAGCTCCTTGGGAGACTGAGTAGTAGGATTACCTGAGCCCAGGAGGTAGAGGTTGCAGTGAGCCTAGATCATACCATTGCACTCAAGCCTGGGCAACAAAGTGAAACTCTGTCTCAAAATCATCATCATCATCATCATCATCATCATCATCTACTGCAGAACAAATGGTATTTTAGGTATCAGTGTCGCCCCTAGTGTCCTACTGTTCCAACAGAAGTAAGTATTTGTGTGATGCAGCCTAACTCCAGAGAGCATTTTCCAGAGGGCAAGAACCATAGCTGTCTGGCTCAGCTCAGTATCCTCAGACCAGAGGAATAAAGAAGCACACAGGACAGCACGTGAGCAACATCCTTCAATATAGGTCCTAACTATATCTATCATGGTATCAGCATTTATATAACAATCAAAACACCCCCAAGCCCAGAGAAGAGAATCAACTGAAGAAGTCCTCTTCTCTTTAGCAAATATTATTTCATTTCTTCTAGGATACCAGAAACAAAAGGTTGTAATCATGCATGCATTCAGTTCCGCCCAAGAGTATTCATCATACAAATACTTACTGAGCACTTGCTATGTGAATGATAATGCATATAAAGTACTTATTAATATACTGCCATGCCCATAATTATTATTAAATTGTGCTAGGCCCCAGAGATACATGGTGACCCAGCCAGGCCTGGTCCCTGCCTTTCAGGAAATCCTCTTCGGAGTTAGTTTGGCAGCATTCTAATGTGTTAACACTGTGAGAACAATAGTTAAAAGTATCATTTGTGAGTTGATTTAAGTATCATTTGTGACTGTACACAATTGTCTTTAAGACCTAATGTGCTAACAAAGAACAAAATTCTTTAAAAAGATGCAGTCCTGAGAAAATGACATTTTATACCTGCATACCAATGGTTCTCCAGCAGTGGCAATCTTGCCCTCCGTGGACTTATGGCAATGTTTAGAAATGTTTTTTGGTTGTCATAACTTGGCGGATAGGGTATACTACTAACATCTAGTGAGTAGAGATCAATAATTCTATTAAACATCTTAGAAGACATAGAACAGCCCTTCCAACAACAAAAATTATCATGTTCAAAATGTCAATGTGCCAAGGCTGAGAAATCCTGGTATATGGTAACATTTAAAAATCTCAGATCATCTCATATTTGGTATTCTATTCAGTCCTCTTGTACTACATTGAGTAGTGTCCCCCTACTCCCAAAATCCATGCTTACCCAGAACCTGTGAATGTGACTTTTTTTAAAATAGGGTCTTTGCACATGTAATCAACTTAAGATGCAGACTTACTGGATTAGGAAGGTCATTAATCCAATAGCCTATTCTTAAAAGATGGAAATTTGGACACAGACCCATGCACAGGGAAGATAGCCATGTGATGACAAAGGTGGACACTGGAGATATAGTGCCACAGTTAAGGAATGGCTGGCAACCACCACAAGCTGGAATACGCAAAGAAGGATTCTTTCCCAGATGTCCTTTGGAGGACATCTTGACCTCAGCCTTCTGGCCTCTAGAGCTGTGAGAGAATAAATTACCTGGTTCATGGTAATTTGTTGTGGCAGCCCTAAGAAACTAATATACCCCCTTAAGCAAAACAACAGGACAACAATCATGGCTTCTCCATGGTCTGAAACCCTCCATTTGCTCAATAAATGGACAGAAAACCAAGCTCAGGAAAAATCACTATAGATAGATAGATAGATAGATAGATAGATAGATAGATAGAGATATAGAGATATAGATATAGATATATATAGAGAGAGAAGACCTACTACGTCTTAGGCATTTGTAGCACAACAATGAATAAAAGAAACAAAGATTTCTTCAAATGCTGCAATAAATTATTTAATATACCTGGCATTTACACAAATCGTTTTGCTGAGATCTAAGAAAAGGGAGGAAAAGGGAGAAGGCAAGTGCAAAAGGCATTACATTTGGGGGCAGTAAAGACTGTTCAAAAACTTTTAAAAAGAGGTACATTATACTTGTAAGTGAATCTGTCTCAGCAGCTCAAACAAGTAATATTTCTTCAACAGCTATGCAGGGTGATTCAGGAGCAGATTTTAAAGTCAAGGAATCTGGCTTTCTTGGAGAGTAGAAGTTTCCCAATAATTTTAAATACCCTGTCTTTTAAAATTCACATCATTTTAATTTTCTTCCAATCCCGTGGTTTTTATGAGACCTTATGCTTGTCCATCATGGTTCCATCCACAGTGGTGCCTCCAAGTTTTCTAGATAAGAGGGTTCAGAGTCAGCAATATGGTGGCAAATGAGAGACTGGGGACATGTCCAAAGATGCATCTCCACAGCAAACCTGAAACATTTATTTGGATTGCATAATTCTCTGGGGTAGCTAAAGAAAAGGTATACTGTCTTTTGTATTAGATGCACATCTGAATAACTCTAATCCATGAAAGGACATGTTAAGGATTCCAGTGCTATCTACAATGTACCTGTAAGAAGAAAAGAGGAATTAATTTAGGGAAACCCAAGGGCCCTCTGAGACAGAGTCAAGTGAGGGGCTGAAACAAATCGCCCAAGTAGGGCATGCAGAACTACAAGTCACCAGGGCTGAAATAAAAACATGGTAAATATTTGCAAGAGGTGAGAGTTAAAACTGAAATATAAAAATGGTATGTGTCCCCTCCATAAGCCAATAATTATAACCTCCAAGTCACCAAAATAATCATATTGGATACTAAGATGGCTACAAAGCTCAAACTGGAAATAAGTTTTCACTGTTCCTTTAAACAAAGATGTTTATCAGCAAAAATGAAATGGGGTAGCACAATCAAAAGAAAAAATGGTCATAACAATGAAGCAATTTGGGGGCTCCAAAACCCATGCTTTTTAATGGAAGGAAAAAGTAAAATGTTCTGAAATACTTAAGAATGCAAGGAACTATTACTATTTCACAAAAGCCATTCACCACTGAAGTAAATTTCACTTCCAAACCTAATCTAAGATCTTCTAAGATATTCATGTTAATATACATAAGTTTATAGCATGTTTCTGGTTATGTTTTTTTTTAATGGAAAACTGAAGCAGTTTCCTTTTTAGGATTAGTGTCTTATAAATGGTAATAAGTTAAGATGCAGGTAGGAATGAGAAACTTACTCTGTACTTCCAACGAAGTAAACATTTGTCTTCTCAAGAATGAACAGCACAGTGTTGAATTCCCATAAACTCTATGGTGTGCAATAGCTCAGGGCTTCCTTAGGCCACACTGGGACAGATCGTCAACACCTCAGAATCTACATATTTACATCTACTATAACTTTTTATTTTCAAACTTCTTCTGTATATATTTAAAAATTAAATATAACTGAATAAGAACAAGAGCTAAGAATTCAATTATCCAAGCTAGTGTGTATTACGCTACTACCCATTTGGAAAGTCATTCAACTTCTCTAATTTTAAGGTTCCCACATCTATAAATTTTCTGCCATACTAACTCACCAACTGACTGTAAAAATTTAGGGGGGCAGTTGGGGAGGAGTTAGACCATGCATATGTGTGATAATTTAAGTTTAGAAGTCTTACACTTAAAAGTAGACTGTAGTCATTAAGGTATCAATCCAGGTAAAGGTGAAGTGAGCATCTTAATAGCAAACTTTTCCTATTTAAAAGTATATCTAAAGATTGATTAATTGAAAATTATCCAGTCAATATGAATGCATTAAAAATGAGATTTTCAGTGTACAAAGGCCAGAAATGGAGCCTTTTCACTAAAAGTTATAAGCCAAAAAACGTGTTTCAGACCATTCCAAAGAGCAGGACATGACAAAAACACTTTCAGCAGCCATTCCTCTCCTTATTCCTAGATTTTTGTTATTTTAACTAGTGGCATGAGATGGTCATTTGGTATTATTTGGTGGTTTGTTTTTACTTAGGAGGCTTTACAAGTGGGAAAAATCCATTAAAAGCTCAACAGTAGCTTGAGTTCAGACCAGCCTGGGCAACATAGGGAGATCCCCATCTCTACAAAAAATAAAAAAAATTATTGGGTGTGGTGGCACATGGCTGTGGTCCCAGCTACTCAAGAGGCTGAACTGAGAGAATTGCTTGGACTCAGGAGGCTGAAAAGGCAGTGAACCATGGGTGACTGAGGGAGACCCCAGTTCAAACAAAACCAGAAGTATCAATGACTTAGCCTGATAAGCTGTAAAGGAAATCCCAAACAATTGTTTGTTTATCTTATGTTTTTAGAAAAAGCATCTTTTCCATATGAACAACTATTAAAGAAACCATGAGTGCATTGTTTAATAGTAACTGATTTTACTCTGCTCCTTTGCATTAAAAAGCAGGGCATGGAAAACGTCTTTATTATATTCAGTCTTTCCTTATAATGGTTATTCATTTTAATAATTTTTTTTGCCAGAACCATTAGTATAGATTTTGCAGCTGGTGTGAAATAAGGGGGAGTCTTGGTCTTGAATAGTTCCTCTTCCCTAAACTAGCCACCTTAACATAGAGTGAGTCACCTGCCATCAAGCCTCAGTATCCTCAACTGTAAAAGAAGCATGTTGGCTTAAAACACTTTAAATGTTCCCTTCCCACTCTTAACATTCAATTGTAATTTTAAAAAGGAATGAATTATCCTACACTAAAGACATAAGGACTAGTGAAAATGGGAAACGGCATTTCTATGATACATTTACGTACCAAAATGTTAATAAGCAGAGTCTATGGAACAAATAAGCTTGCAGAATCTATCTCATACATGGCATGGCAGAAAAGCCCCACGGAAATGATTCAGCATTCAACACCTTCCTTCCCACAGAGTATTTGGGAATGTAAAGTAAAAGATATTTTGCCAAACTTAGCCCCTGCAGATTTAAAGTTAAAGATCATACATCATCTGGAATTTCACCTCAAAACTGAGCAAATAAGAGATCTAACACCAGAAGCTATAGCTAGGGAGAGTGCCTTGCAGATCATGCAAAGGTACTGTAGGTCTTCCTATTCATTTAGCTCCAGGGATGGGGGCGGGGTCTTCATTTGACAGACCTGATCTTCACAAGAGTTTACCAAAAGTTCACAGAGCAGCTTTGTTAAAGAAGAAACTGTTACCATCAGAGGGAGAAACCACCAGGAATAACTGCTTTATTCTCATAGTTACATATTCTACACATTTTGTTCTAAGTTAAATACAGAAGAACACAATTTTAAAATGAACAAAAAAGCCTTCAACTCCACAATTATAGTTTCAATAATTCCTTTAAAAATGTTCCTGGAAGCTACTTCTAAACAGAGGAATCCGGTGAGGTTAAGGGGAGAAGGGACCACTACTGTTCTCCTGAGAGATCATTTCATTCATTTCCATCATGTTTTAGCAGAAAGATACCAATAACTTCAAATATCCTCCTGAGAAATTCCTACTATGAAAAGATCGTGCCTGTTCAGCTTTGTCCTTATTTGCTCCGGTTGTATGACTTCGGTATTAAACCTGTCAATAAGCTTGGAAACTGACAAACAAGGTCAAAAACAATCGCACTGAATAAATTCAATTAATGTTTAAAGATTATCTAAAGGTGTGGGGGATGGGGCATAAAAAACTAATATTTCTAATGTTCCCACCAGTGCCCATCGCCCCCAGTACAAAGCTCCTACTATTCAGAGATTTAAGTATGCTTTCAGTCCATCTACATTTCCTTGCCAAAATACACACTACACTACACATAGTCTAACACAGTCTGTATCTGTTAGGCTGCTAGTACAGAACTGAATCCCGGCAGCACACGGAAGTAGTGCCCTGTAATGAAACAGTGCAACGTGTCAGTCGGCTTGGGAGTTTCTGGAGCGCCAGGAACTACAGCAAATCATCACTCTCCAACATGTGGGCCATAAAATCTGAGTTGGGGGCGGAGGTGTCCCTTTTCCTTGTTTTTCCTCCACTTTTTTTTAATGTGGGGGCGGGGTGGACTCGAAAGTAGACTGGATAATGAGGTCCACTCCAAGATAGATAAGGAACTCTTGGCAACCTAGAGTCCCTTGGGATAGGATGCTAGTTTGGAGGCAAGAGGAGTAACTTTCATTCTCTGTAACCTCACTTCTTGACACTGAGGATAGTCATTGTCTGCGGAAAAGACTACCTGCGCTCAAATTCCTTTGCCCCGTTCCTAATTACAAGTTCCCTCTGGGGTTGGTAAATTAGAAAATCAGCAAAAGGGCCAAAGGCTGGTCAGTGCCCCTGAGACTGGCAAGCGCTTGCAATGAGGGTTGCCCCACCTTTCTAAGACTCACAAATTAGTTCTGAAGTGGGAGCCGCGGTGGAGCACGCAGAGGTGCCGCACTTACCCCCATTCACCCCCATGGACGGCTCCAGTTTAGCTCCGGCGATCGCCAGTACTATTCCGATCATGAACCAGTCTTTCCTCATTCTCTCCAGCAGCCTCATATTTGTTAGGGTGGGTGGGTTTTGTTTATTTGTTTCGCTTTTTTTCTTTTCAAGCTGCGATCACCTAATCCCCAGAGCGTCTCCACACTTTCCTTGGTCCCTCCAGACATGCAGCAACGCAAGTCAAATTGCCACTTGTAAACTAAAGACCTGGGGGTTGCTCTGGCGGCTTTGAGGAGGGTTGGGAGTAGTAGTATCCAGTGACAGGAAAGTCTCACTGAGCGCCGCCATCACTACCACGCGCCTCCGAATACACGCGCACAAACGCACCGAACGCCTCTGGCCGAGGGCGCGTAGGTAAAAATGCTTTGAAACGAACTTTGACCAGGCCGAGGAACGTAGGCGATCGGGCAAGGGAGACTGGCCGCCGGATGGGACTGACAAACCCACCGCTGCCGGGACCTGCGGAACCTTCTGAATGACGTGGGGTGGGGAGAGCGTCTTAGGTGCCACAGCCTCCAAGCCTCATTGATTGTCCCTCTCCAACAAGCCTTTAGGCACAGCCACCCACGCTTCTGGAGCATATCTCCATGGAGAGCCTCTCTTTTGCTCTGCCATGGCCCCGCGGGCAGGATTGGAGTGTGCTTGGGGCAAGTGATTTATCCGTTGAAGCTGCGGCAGCGAGGTGCAAGTTTTGAGGCGCGCTTCTTCGGGGCATTACGGCGCTTCCCCGACGCCAGCGCTGACGTCTGCGCGGGGGAGGGAGGCCACTTCGGTTCTCCGAGTTCCCTACCCGAACAGCCAGAGTTAGACGCGTCGGCGCGGGAAAGTGGCTCGCTGGTGGGCGGGGAGCCTTAGCCCTGGCTGTGGGGTGATAATCCGGCATCGGGCAGACGCTCACGTTCGCAGGACCCCAGCATTCCGGCGTCCGCTGCAACCCAAGGAAAACGGGCCGGACCTTTCCAGGTCGCTCGCCTGTGGGTGGGCGTTTGGCCCAGATCCCCTTCCCTCCGCCGCCCACACCCGCCCCGGGGCTGCGGGGGCCTGCGGGGATCTGGGCAAATCTGCCTTTGCAGGCGGAGAGTGAGAGCTCAAGTCTCCTCCCCACCAGCTAAGCTACCCGCGGGCGGAGTGGGGTCTACTTTGTCCAGCGCCAGGGCGGGCTAGTGCCCGCTCTCCCTGGACCCCAGGGCTGATCTACCCAAACCACAGGAAAACTCTGGGAAGAGGGGCGGGGATTCCAAAGCAGAAGTGGTGGGGGGTTGAGTCTGAGAAGTTGGGGAGTTCAGCCTTCCATTGCCACTGAGTGCTAGTTCTATCCTCCAGTTTCTTCCTTGAAATGTGACATTGGTTCTTTACAGAAATTGATCTGTTTTAACTCTGCAGCTGTTCATGAATGGACCCTGCAAGAGCATGAACTCTCCTGTATCATTCATCCAAATGAAGAATGAAAGAAAACAGTATGTGACATTTTGAAATAACCTGGCATGTGCCAGTTAAATGGTTAAAAATGGAACTTAAGGTTTGGAAGATATTGTTTTGTGATGCCAGACTTTAATTCTGAATGTATTCAAAGCTGGAATCTTTGTCGTGTCATTTCCTCTATTCAATTTAGCTTTATCTTGATGGCACGACTTCCAGAAACTAAGCCACTTTAAGCAGTTGTGCTCCCAGTTGTAGGTTACATAGTATACCACATGTCATCTAATTATACATCAGGCAACATGAAAAAAAATTAATTTCAAGATAAAAAGAACTTAACAGGGAGACATAGATGACATTAAACAGTTTACTCTGAAATGAGAGAGGCATATGAAATATGATAAAATTTGATGTTAATTGTCAGGCATTCAGAAGATAAGTGAAGATAAATGAAAGATAGTTTACAACATAATTATTTTCTTATAGTAAATTCTTAGTAGGTTAAAGAGTCATACGTCTCAGTCATTGAAGGGATAGTTTTGTGTTAAAACATCATTAAACATTAACTTTACAGAAATTGAGCTGTTTTAACTTTACAGCTGTTCACAAATTATTTACTAAGACCTCTTTGATCTGTTTAGAGCAGAATCTAACTCAGAGATTTGTTTTTTGTTTTGTTTTTAATGGTACTTAGAGGAAAAAAATAGTGTGCCATGAGTTCTATTCTGTTAAGGCTTGTATTTGTTTGCTGTGGCTGCTGAAACAAATACTTGAAATTGGATGCCTTCAAACAACAGAAATGTATTCTCTCACAGTTCTGGAGGACAGAAGTCCAAAATCAAAATTTTGGCAAGGCCACACTCCCTCTGAAGGCTCTAGGTCTTTGCATATATAATAAGATGAGGTTATGCTGGATTAAAGTGGATCCTAAATCCAGTGACTGGTATCCTTATAGGAATGTCATGTGAAGGCACAGGAGAGACAGAGGAGACCCCATGTGAAGATGGAAGCAGAAGTCAAAGTGATGTGTCGCCAAGCCAAAGAATGCCCAGGATTTCCAGCAACCACCAGAAGCTAGGAGAGAGGCATGGAACAGATTTTTTTTCTCTCAGTTCTGGAAACAACAAACCCCACTGACACCTTGATTTTAGACTTCTAGCCTCTGAACTAGAAGAAAATAAATGGTGGTTATCCTAAGCCATTCAGTTTGCAGTACTTTGTTATAGTAGCTCGGAGAAATGAACACAGCAGCATTCACAGCATCCAGAGTTTTGATGTGATTTTGTCTTTGATGTGGCCACCATTAACCCCACTATAAGACCCATCTCTGCTTTCTGTTTCTTCCAATACTCTCTTCATTCACTCTTCCATCTCACTCATTTTTTCTGTTATTTCTTTTTCTTTCCACTGTTTCTCACCTTAGTTTTTGTTTTCTTTACCTCTGCCACTTGACCAGACACCATCCCAACCAAAATGGACACACAAAAGCAAAGTTCTTTAAAAGACACACAATAAACTTTGCTTACTCAATAAATATTAAATTTGTTTATTGAAAACATATGTAATATGCCCTTCACTGTATGCCAGGCATGTGTCAGATACTGAGCATTCAATGGTGAGCCAAAAAGACACAAAACTTTCTTTCATGGAGCTTATAATCTGGTGCAGGAAACAAATGCAAACAACTTGTGCTTTATGGAAGGAAAATGGCAGGATGTTGAGAATAGTTTAGATTGGAGAAAACAGGCATCCCTGAGATCTGAAGAGTGAACAAACATGTGAGTTGCTCAGGCAAGGATGAACTTGACGCTTCATGGAATTTAAAAACCAGTGTAACTAGACCAGTCAGTGAGGGGAGAGTGAGAGGAGAAAGATGAAAACCTGGGGAGGGTGCAGACTATATGAGACCTCTCATGTTGCGGTAAAGGATTTCGCTTCTATTAAAGACTGTAGAAAGTCACAGAAGGATTTTAAGCTAGCAAGTGTCATGCTTGGTCTTGCTGAAGGGATTGTCTTAGAAGCAGTGTCTGGACAAATAGTTCGGGAAGTGACTGTCAGTGGAGCTGGAAAAGGAAATTAGTACAAAAACTATTAAACAGGAAAAATAAACTACCAGTCAATTGTAGGGGACTAGGAAGGAAGTAGAAAATGACTCCCAGGAATTTGTTTGGCAGACAGGTACTGGTGCCCTTGTTTTGGCCAACAAATCTACAGAGTAAATTTGGGGCATAGATTTAAAATTCAGTTTTGTATGTCTGGAATTCAGGGATGACTGGAGTGTGTTAATAGAACTGTCCAGAATGCAGGCAAAATGGGAGCTTGATCTCATGAGGATGGAGTTGGCTCAAACTGTAGCTCCAGTGTTCTTCAACAACAAATTATGGAAGCTGTAGGCATTAATGTAGTAGATATCTATTTTCTAAACTTTGTTACTTACACTGGCTACTTGATTTCTTTGAATGTGGTTCATTTACTTATTCATTATATGTATGAATGGTTAATGTTACCAAAAAGGTACGGGTACACCTATGCCTGCTATCGCAGAGTTTATGTTCAATAAAATGGTGATAGGAATTCTACTGCATTGGGCTGATGAAAAGATTAAATAGAATAGTATATATCCATTATCTTGCATGAAATAAATGTTCACTCATTCATTTATTCAACAAATATTGAGCTCCTGCTATGTAGTAGGCACTAGTCTAAGTAGTGGGGTTATAAGGAAATAGAAGAGACAAAGTTTCAGCTTTCCTTGTGTGTTCTAATAATAATAACATAAAGAAAAAGGTGGCAAGAAGTGACAAGTGTCATGATGAATATAAAGCAAGATCATGTGATAGAGTAACAAGGGAGCTACTTTAATTGAAGTCAGGGAAAGTGTCTTAGTTTGGGTTGCTATCACAAGTTACCAAAAACTGAATAGTTTAAAAAAGAAACATTTCTCATAATTATGGAGGTTGAGAAGTCCAAGGTCAAGCTGCAGACAGATCCCTGACTGGGGAGGGTCCACTTCCTGGTTTGTACATGGCTGTCCTCTTGCTGTATGCTCACATAGGAGAGAGCAAAGACAGACAGCAAGCTCTTGTGTATCTTCTTAGAAGGTAGCTAATCCCATAATAAGACTAATTACCTCCCAAGAGCCCTACCTCCAAATACTATTATATTTATGGTTAGGATTTCAAGATGTGAATTTTGGGAAAGGGGCACAGCTAATCTTTACTAGGCCTCTCTGAAGGGATGTGATTTAAGCAGACTCAAATCATGTAGAAAAGCCCACCATGCTTATATTTGGGAAATTAGCACTTTAGACAGAGGAAATTCTTCATGAACAATCCACATAAATTCTGTAAGGCAGGAATTAATTATCTTGGCACGTGTATTAGCTTCCTACCGCTACTATAACAAATAACTACAAACTTAGTGGCTTAAAACAACACAACTTTATTATCTTACAATTCAGGAACTCACAAGTCCTAAATGGAAGTCACTGGACTAAAATCAACCAAATTGGCAGGACTGCATGCCTTTCTGGAGGTTCTAGGGAAGAATTGCCTTTTCTTTTCCATTTTCTAAGGCTACCTCTATTCCTTGGTTCCCTGCTCTTCCATCTTCGTAGTAGTGGCCCATCAAGTCTTTTTTGGGAGGAATCACTGACAGTGACTCTCCTGCCTCTCTCTGGCTTTTAAAGACCCTTCTGATGACATTGGTGTTATGGGCTGAATTGTGTTTCTCAAAAAAAATATGTTGAAGTCTTAGCCCCTACTACCTCAGAATATGACCTTTATTTGGAAATAAGATCTTGACAGGTTATCAAATTAAAATGAGGTCATTAGGGTAAGTCCTAATCTGACTGGTATCCTTAAAAAGGAGGAAACTTGGCTGGGCGCAGTCACTCACGCCTGTAATCTCAATGCTTTGGGAGGATGAGGTGGGTGGATCACCTGAGGTCAGGAGTTCAAGACTAGTCAGACCAACATGGAAAAACCCCATCTCTATTAAAAATACAAAATTAACTGGGCGTGGTGGCACATGCCTGTAATCCCAGCTACCCCGGAGGCTGAGGCAGGAGAATTGCTTGAACCTGGGAGGCAGAGGTTGCGGTGAGCCGAGATCATGCTATTGCAGTGCAGCCTGGGCAACAAGAGTGAAACTCCATCTCAAAAAAAAAAGAAACCTGGACACAAGAACACACATAGTAAGTAGCAAGACAATGAAAATACACAGTGGGGAAGATGGCCATGTGACTGGAGTGATGCATCTACAAGCCAAAGAGAGCCACCGATTGGCAGCAAACAGCAGAAGCTAGAAGAGGCAAGAAAAGATTTTCCCTTTAGAGCCATCAAAAACAGCACAGTCTTGCCATTACCTTGACTTTGCACTTGTAGCTTCCAGAACTGTGAAACGACAAATTTCTGTTGTTTTAAGCCATCTAGTTTTTTGTGCTTTGCTACAGCATCCCTAGGAAGTGAATATATTTGTGTATACCCCAATCGTATCCAGCTACTCCAGGATAACCTCCCTACCTCAAGAGCCTTGACTTAATCAAATCTACAGAGTCCCTTTTGCTACGTAAAGTAGGATATTAACAGGTACTGGGGATTAGAATGTAGAGATCTTTGGGGACCATTATTCTGCCTACCACAACATGTTAAAGGCATGTTAAAGGAATAAAAAGAAGGCCTTTGCAAGGGATGAGGGTTGTGGGGGCAGGGATCAGATCATTCAGATCATGTAGGCCTTTATAGACCAAGTTATAAAGTTTAAATTTAATTGTGATGAGGTGTAGGAAAATTCTAAGCAAGGAAAAACCATTGTTTTTAAAAGATTGCTCTGGATGCTGTGTGGAGGAGGAATTTCAGAGAAGGGAAACGGCTTAGGAGGCTTTGGGGGTAGTTTGAGGGAAAGATTCTGTTGATCTGCACTACAGAGGCAGTGGCGGTGGAGACGAAGAAAAGCAGAAATTTTCTATTCATGTTACAGCACTTGCTATTGGATTTAGGTAAATGAGGAAAAGAGTAATCAAGGATGACTCCTAAATTATATTAGGTTGGTGCAAAAGTAATTGCAGTTTTTGTCATTAAATGGCAAAAACCACAATTACTTTTGCACCAACCTATAGCTAAATCCACATGCTTGGTGAATGTTGGTATACTACGGTTGTTTAGAGGTATAGAATTAATGGGAGATATATATATCTCACTGGAATTGATGACTACCTTCTTCTACTACCCATTCTGTATTCCCTTTGCCTTCAGCAAGTACCTCAGCAGATTGTGGTTTTTTTCCTGGTTGAGTGACCTAAACCTTCATTCCTGAAGAGCCTGGGTCATTTGTAGTCCTGCCTGGATTGGGTTATTGTAGTTTCCCATTGACCGGAATCGCAGGACATGGTAATACTAAGAGATATCCTGTATTCCATGCATACTCTTCCTTATCTCCATTATGGAGTAGTAGACTGATTTCATCCTGATAGTCCGGGTCAGTCACCCCAGCCAACAGCGTAACTCCCTTCTTAGCCTGTTGACTTAAAGGTGGAAGGAGCCCAAAGTGTCCAGGTGGCATGTCTTATCTGAAATGGGTCTCATTTCTCCTTTGCTTAGAAAGCTTAATTTGGCTGGATATGAAATTCTTGGTATGTTGATCTTTGTTCTCATTAGTTTCAAAGAGCAACTTGATTTCTCCCTTAATTTCATTATTTACCCAAAAGTCACAGCTTGGAGATGTTTTTCTTTAAGAATGTTGAATATCGGCCCTCAATTTCTTCTGGCTTGTAGGGTTTCTGTTTAAAGGTCTATGGTTAACCTGATGAGGTTCCCTTTGTAGGCGACCTATCCTTTCTCTGTAGCTGTCTTTAACATTCTTTCTTTCAATTTGACCTTTGAAAGTCTGATGGTTATGTATCTTGGGGATGATATTTTTGTGTAATATCTTTCTGAGATCCTCTGCATTTCCTAAATTTAAATGTTGGCCTCCCTAGCAAGGTTAGGGAAGTTTTCATGACTGATATCCTGAAATACATTTTTCAATTTGTTTGCTTTCTCCCCATCTCTTTTAGAGATACCAATGATTAGTAGATCTGGCTTCTTAATATAATCCCATATTTCTTGAAAGTCAGGTTTCTTCCTTTTAATTGTTTTTTCTTTATTTTTGTCTTATTGCCTTATTTCAGAGAACCAGTCCTCAAGCTCTGAGATTTT